CGAGGGGAAGCGGGGACAATGGTGTCGCCGAGGGGACCCTTTGTGGCGCGGGGATCCCGGGCTCCGCGGGGTCGCCCACGCGCCCGCGTTGTGTTCCAGCGGCCGGGAGCGCAGGAGCCTTTGGACCTTCCCCTGCTCGTTACCTTCGGCTCCTAGAGGCTCCGCAAGAAGCTTCTCGGAGCGGGACGGGAGCGGGCGCCGCGCCGGAGCGCGGCCAGGAGCCGGGGCCTTGCGGGAGCTGCTGTATGCGGGGATCCCGGGCTCCGCGGGGTCGCCCACGCGCCCGCGTTGTGTTCCAGCGGCCGGGAGCGCAGGAGCCTTTGGACCTTCCCCTGCTCGTTACCTTCGGCTCCTAGAGGCTCCGCAAGAAGCTTCTCGGAGCGGGACGGGAGCGGGCGCCGCGCCGGAGCGCGGCCAGGAGCCGGGGCCTTGCGGGAGCTGCTGTATGTGGAGTTTCGGGACAGTAAGTCACGTGCATTTTTATGTGGCTCCGCACGGTGCTGCAAAACAGACAGGGCCCGAAGAGGAGGGAAGGGCCTCGGAGGGCGGACGGGGGCTTTGGAAGTGGCTTTTTCACTTTTTGAGATTTAAATCTCTAATTGGACTCTCTTGGCCAAGTTCTGACATATTAGGGGTTTTAAAAATCAAAACCAAAATCGTCCTAGGCTCAAAGTTTTGAACGTTCTGTAGACTTTTAGCTTGTTGTTTTGCAATAGCCTGAACTCTTAAGTCTTTGTGCTATTTTGCTTGCCTAAAAGCAGGGCAGAGGAAAGACAAACCCATCCAACCTGTTGTGTGGAGAATTAATGGGACATTTTTTTCTTTTAACCTTCCCCTTGCTTTCTCCTTTCCTCCTTCAGAAATGCTTTCTCTGAAGAAATATTTCACCGAAGGCCTCATCCAGTTCACCATCTTGCTCAGCCTCATCGGCGTTCGCGTGGACGTGGACACCTACCTGACCTCGCAGCTGCCCCCTCTTCGCGAAATCATCCTCGGCCAGAGCTCTGCTTACACTCAGACCCAGTTTCACAACCTGCGCAACACCTTGGATGGATATGGCATCCATCCAAAAAGCGTAGACCTGGACTATTACTTCACAGCTCGCAGGCTCCTCAACCAGGTGAGGGCCCTGGACAGGTTTGAGGTGCCCAGCACCGAGGTCAACGCCTGGTTGGTGCACAGGGACCCCGAGGGCGCCGTGTCCAGCACCCAGCCCAGCGCCGGCATCGCCCTCGAGAGCGGCAGCGGCCTGCAGGATGGCACCGGCCCCGACAGCCCCGGCGGCGGCGTGAGGGAGAGCGGAGCGGAGCAGGGCTTTGGGGAAGAGCTGGAAGATCTGGGAGCGGTGGCGCCTCCGGTGAACGGGGACCTGACCAAAGAGGTAGGCGGTGCCTTTTTTCGACTAAAAACGTGTGACAGGAAAGAACGGGAGCCCTGTGAGGACTCAGGGCAGGGCCGGCTCTTGCGTGTTTGGTATCTACCAAAGCCTGGTGGAGGGAGCAGGACTTTGTACCTTGCACGTGCTTAGTGCTTTGGAAAAGTGAGCCCTGCTTGGGAGAGGCACGGCCCTGACCCGAGCTTTAGCAAGAGGGCTCCTGGTGTAGGCGGAGCTTTTTGTGTTTTTTTGCCTTTATTTTTTCACTTGTGTTTATTTGGTCTGAAAGTAGCAGTGAGAGGGGGTGACAGGGTTGGGATCGGCCTGTGCCTGTTGTGAAACTGATAACACAGGGAAATAAACAGGAGCGTTGGGTAACAGCCCCGTCCCAGGTGTCGAGGGCTTGGTTGGGTTACTCGCTGCTGGAGCTGGTCCAGTTGCTGTTTATTGCCTGGGTTTTCATCAGAGAGGGGTGGGGACAGGAGCGGTGGAAAGTGGTTCGTTTCTCCGTGCAAAACGGGGTGACGCAATCGAGTCCTGGCCCCCAGGAGCTGCTGCTCTCTCTGCTTTCTGGCTTTGGTTGCTTTGTCGGGGCATGTTGAGCCTCAACATCTCCCTGGGCACGCTGTGCTCATGTCAGTGCTGGATTCCAGAGCTGCTTCTAGCTGTTGTTTCTCCCAGGCTGCTCCAGTTGGAGCTCAGCCAAGCAGCCAGGCCAAAAAGGGCAGGGAAGGAGCTGGATTTGACCCCCGCGAGCCGGGCTTGGTGTCCTGCGGCGAGGCCGAGGGGCGGCGGGGAGCTTTGCGGGCACCTGCTGCGGATGCTCCCGCTCTGCCACGCGCTCCGTGCGCGGCAGCGGGCGGGATCTCGCGTGGGAATGACGCGGGGACCGCGCTCGAGCCGCAGCACCGGCTGCTCCCGGGGTGGCGGGAAGCCTCGCTCCATCCGCTGGGATCTCCTCGGTGCCAGCGGGATGCGGATCGGGGCTCACGGCCCCTTCCCTGCAGCCGGTGCCCGCGTGACCTTGGGCGTCTCGCGGGGAGCAGCTTCCGCACGAGGCGCTCGGAGCAGGACCGGGCTCACGGATCCGGCCTCGCCCCCGCGCAGCGAGAGGGGTGATTCCCTCTTTGGGGAACGGGGAGGAATCCAATGGAGTTTCCCTTTACCCAAGACCATCCAGATGCAGCCTATGGAAGGCTTGTTTGTTTTTCCCCATGCCTTGTATTCTAGGCTGGGCATGTTGAGCATGGAGAACCTTTGGAATTACAATAAATGGCGCTTCCCCAGCGCAGGGGTTTTAGAGGAATCGAGACTAAATTTTACAGAAAACTCCGCTGCAGATTTGAACGGCAGTGGGTCGGTAACTGCTGTTTCCCTGCAGCCTGCTTATCTGTGTCTTTAAAATACAGTCATGCATTAAATGCCCTTCGTGCTGCAAGAGGCCCGTGGATGCAGTGACCCTGCAACAAACCTGGCCAGCTGGGATGGGATTTGCTGGGAGCGAAGCTCCCGGATAATCCAGGCGGTGCCATGTGGGAAGGAGGCCCTGCCGTGCCGCAGGGTCCCTCCGCTCGCTCCTCCAGGGCAGGGTGGGGAATGTTTGTCCCTTGTGCGGGTTCCTGCGGCGCCCTCGGGGGCTTCTCCACCTTTCCAGAAGCTCCCGGTTTCGGCAGGCGGGAGAGGCTGTTTCTAGTGGCCCCTGCGCCGGCCGAGGGCCCGGCACCTTCCCGGCTGCTCCGTGCGGTGCCAGGAAATCCCGCGCGCGGCCCCGCCTCCGCGCGCGTCACGGCTCCGGTGCTCCCGGGTTATCCCGTCCCGCTCCGGGACGTCGGCTCCCGGCTCGTCGGGCGCTCCGCAGCCCCGGACGTGGCCCCAGGGGCAGCGCGCGGGGCCGTGATGCGACGCCGATGCCTTTAGGATGGGCTATAAATTTTTCCATGGCTTCTCCTGGCGCTTGACGCGTTGCAGCGCGGCTCAGGGCACGCGGGCCGGGCACGACCTTGCTCTGGAATACGGCTGCGTTATTTTGGAAGGCAGAAATTTCCCTCGGGCACGACACGGTTCCTGCAAGCCCAGGCAGGGAATAAGGGCTCTGCCCAAGAGGTCACCCTCCTCCCAAAAATATATGTATATTTTCTGGCTTTTGCTTGTCATGTTGCTGGTACCCTAGACAAGGAGATATATCCTTGTGTCTCTCCCTATATATATCCCAAATTATTTGGGTATTTCCTCTGCAGCCCTGGGGGAGGAATTGTTGCCCTCTTTGGAAAGACCCGTCCTACGGCGTATCCACAACAAGAGGATAAAAATACCCGGGGCTGAAGCATGTGATGAGCGGCGGGCGCTCAGCGCCGGGGACAGGGCCGCCCGCGCGGGGCGGCCGCGCGGGGCCCGGGGGGGCGGGTGTCTGCCCGCAGCGGGGAGAACGTCCCTGTCACTGTCGCTGGCTCCGCGCTGGAGGAATCTGGGAGTTTTTTTCCCCTTCCAGCGTCGCTTTCCCGCTGTGGAAACAAGGGGATGAGCCAAGGTCATCCCGGCCTTCCTTCCCGCCGCTCCCCCGGGAAGCCGCGCCCGGG